CGTGTCCCGACTGCCATCCGCACTCGTGTGCTGTGCCATGAGCGTCGTGCGTTCCTTGTGCGAATGAGATTGGTGAGAGCAGCGATGGACAGTATGCAGGCTACTCGTGAGGCGGAGAGAGAGGAGAAGCGCAAGTCTCGTGAGGCCCCAGCAGGCCTGCCGCACCCTCCCCCTCCCCCTCCTCCGCCTGCTCCTGTTGTTGCAGCGTTGCAGTCCCGCCACAGGCTAGCCGATTGCCAGCGGAGGTGCTTGCAATGTTTCGGATCAGCATCCGCTGACACTGTTAAAGAGTTTTGGTCGTCTGAGTGTACCCCCCTGTACAATGTGAATGGGGTCATTTTCTCTCCTAGGAAGGGGGCGAGGGTACACATAGCGGGGGGCTGGGCACACAATACACACACCTTGAATGTACACGCGTCACTCCAGGTATGGTTCTGTAGTGTGTGCGGGGCCATCGCCGACAAGGCGATATGCTCGCTGAAAGCCCAGTGTAAGCTTAGATTGTCCAAGCACGGTAGGGCATACCTTGACAGGATCCACAGGGGGTTGCAGCCCAAGGTCCTGAGTCGGGCCGAGCAATCGGCTCGCTCGAGTGTTCCTTCCAGGCCAGGCTAAGCGAAACCGAACTTGCATCGCAACGGGGTCCACTCCACTCCTCCTCCTCCGCCTCCTCCTCTGGAGGTCGACGCCGTGAGCAACGCACGACGTCGGGGGCCCGGGTCTCTGTTCTGGAAGGCACCGGCCCGCCGACCCCGCCGCGCGGGCCCGCAGCCCCTCCGGGGGGGGGGCGGCGCTCGCGGCGCGCGGCGGAGCGCGGCGGAGCGCGGAGCGCGCCGGAGGGGCGGCGCCGGGGGCGCCAGCAGGAGGCCGCAGCGCCGATCCGAGAAATCCGCGCGGGCAGCCAAGCTTTCATGTTTACAGTCATCGGCCTGACCTAAGGAGCGATAAATAAGGAACGAAGCCCCTTTTTTATCCCAAGGAATAGCGCATCAGGAACGAAAAATAATAATGAATAACGCATAAGGAACTGCAAATAACGCATGCAAAATCTAAGGAACGGCCGAGCCCCTTTTGAAAAGTAAGTGTGTTCCTTAGTCAGGCCGCTCGCTGTACGTCATGCTTCGTTCCCCTAGATTCGTGGGGGAAGAAGCCCTCCCCCAGACCCAGAGATGCGACGCTCCAAAAAAAAAACACCGGAGAGAGGGCGGGTTCTTCGGCCGTTTGTGCTGCCTCCGCGGAGGGGGGCCCTCGCGGCGCCTCGGGGTCACGCCAGACGCCGGCCCTACACGGGGAAGCGGCCCGGCCCTCCGGGGCCCACGCATCGAATAGAATGGAGCAGCCGGATTCGGGGAGACGTAACCCCAGGAAGCATTTAAGAACCCCCCCGGCAATATCTTAGCACCGCATTTTTATTCGATATTCCGAGGGGCCGAAATAACCGAACGATAGGTTTAGCACCCGGACACACAACAAATTCGCGGAGGCCTGGCCCCTGGGTCACAATCGAAATTCGAAATTCTAATCTGCGTGGCTCTCATGAAAGTGGGTGGAGGAGAGGAGGAGGAGAAGGAGGATGAGGAGGAGGAGGAGGAGGGCTCCTGGTGCCAGGTAACGCTTCCAGGGTGCGGAAGGGTTATCGATTTGCCGGAAGGGGGGGGGGGGTCTTAAATGCTTCCTGGGGTTAAGTCTCGGGTGCGGGGGACTCGAGTTGGCCTGGCGGGGCCATCATAAAAGGACGGGGCCCAATCTGAATCGTGATGCGAGCTCCCGCTGCAGACGTCCCACGAAAACTGGGGCGTCAAGACCAAGAACGCGCTCGTCGAAAGACGTCGGCAAACCCGAGTTCCGGCTTACTCGAGTCGTACGTTTCCCCGAGCGGACCTGGGCCCTCCAGAGACCTGGACCCCCGACGTCGTGACTTGTTCACAACGTCGACCTCCACAGGAGGAGAAGGAGGAGGAGGAGGAGGAGGAAGCCTCGCTAGAGGTCTCGACCCCTTTCCCGGGACCGGTCTCTCATCTCAGGTCGTCGATTGAGACGGCCTGAGAGGCCTGGCGAGGGCCCCCAGACACCGACTGTATGGCGAGACACCTCCCGTCGTGCTCTTGTCATGACCCGAGGGGGGTTCGGCGGTGACAAACCTCCCTTTAGCAAAGACCCCTTAATGAAAACGGCTTGGGATTGAAACCGACGGACCTGGACCCGCAAAAATGACGGCCGCGACGCCCTCTCGCGAACCGAAAACGGCCAATTCATTAATCGACGTGTCAGGGTAGGATGTCTATCCACCTCCAAGGGGTCTGGGGTTAGGGCGGACATGCCCCCCTGCAGGCAGATACTGAAGGACAAATTAAAAGGTCGTCGAAAACATAAGAAAGAATTCAACAATACACGAAACATCGTCCCCAGGCCATTGTCTTGACTAGTTTCGAGCCTTCCTCCTGCAGAAGGACATGCCCGACGTAAGGCTGGGGGGAGCGGTCTCCCCCTTCTCCTCGCCTCCCTCGCCATCGCTCGGGCGTCCGGTCTCCGTGCAGCTTTCGGCGTCGAGCGCGTCCTCCGTTCGCAAGATGGCCGGGAGGCTCCTCGATGCCCCCCGCCACGGAAGCGGCAACTTTCGGCAAAAATTCAAAGTACCCGTTAGTAAGTACCCGTTACGGTGCCGTTGAGATGCCAACTGCCCCCCAGCCCCGGGCCCCGAAGCCCGGCCAGGGTTCCCAGAGGCCAGAGGTAGCGAGAGGCCTCCCGTCGGCTCTTCGTCATGGCCCGGGGAGGGCATGGGGTCTGGGGGGAGCGGTCTCCCCCTTCTCCTCGTCCCCTGCGCCACCGCTCGGACGTCCATATTCCCAGTGCAGCTGTGCAGCTTTCGGCGTCGTGCGCGTCCTTGTCTCGCAGGATGACAGGAAAAGGGCTCCTCGGTGCCCCTCGCCAAGAAAAACTGCACGCGTCCGAGCGATGCCAAGCCCCTCGCTCCCCCTGCATACGATCGAAACGCTGCCATATGAGGAGCCAGGAGCCATGTAACCTCAGGACCACCGCAGAGAAACTGCAAGACAATCGAGGAGCACTGGGCCCCTCCCCAACGAAAAGGGCTCCTTCTGCGGCGACCCGACGGCACGTTGGCGGCGCGCAGACAGGGGGCAGGGGGAGGCGGGAGGCCTCCTTAGGAAGAGGCTGCTCCTTCGAAGCCGCGGCCTTACAACACGTCGTTCATGACTAATCGTGCTCATGTCTACTTGTGCTCGTTCCTCACTCTTCCTGGCCCCCTAGTGGCCAGGAAGAGGCCCAGGATCGAACAGTCAGACATGAAAGGGTCTCGGCTCCCCCGAAAACCAAAGAACCTCCGAAGAATCCGACATGAACAGTGTGCACATCTACAGAGAAGGCCCGCGCCTTTGAAGCAGCAGGGGTGCCTCCCAGGGCCTTGGGACCATCAAAGAACGACTCAGGATGAAGAACCGGTCCCGGGGAAAGGGTCCGGACTTCTGGGGGCCGACGCTGCGACAAAAATCACGACGTCGGGGGTCTGGGAGCCTCGCAGCTCGAAACTTCGAGCCTCGAAAACCCCCTCTTTTGGACGCCCGAAATGGGTACGGAAAGAATGGGTACAATGCCCAACAACAGATGTTGTCCCAAACCAACAGCGGCCGCTGTTGGGCACGCGGCCTCCTGTCTCGAGTGGATGCAGGCCGCGGCGGCGTGGACAGCGAGTCCTGTTCAAAATGAACAAGATCCGCTGTTGGGCATCGTACCCATTCTTTCCGTGCCCATCTCTCGGGTCGGGCGAAAGGGGGGGATAGCAAAGGGGGGGTTTGAGAATCAGCTCACGCAGCTGATTTTCCCGGCGCCTCCCGGCGCCGGAGGCGGCCATGCATCGAGGCATGGGCCCACCGCGGTGAGGCCGAAACCAGCTGCATGCAGCAAATTTCGTAACCCTCCCTTTCCCAATCCTCAGGAGGAGGAGGAGGAGGAGGAGGAGGAGGAGGAGGAGGAGGAGGAGGAGGAGGAGGAGGAGAGGAGGAGGAGGAGGAGGAGGAGGAGGAGGAGGAGGAAGGAGGAGGAGGAGGAGGAGGAGGAGGAGGGGGACCTCGTTCGTGCAGTGCAGACCTCTGCGCCTGGCGGAGTCGGGCCCGCGCTGGCCTCCCGGCCCGCCCGCCCCGCCCGCGGCGCCTGTCCTCGACGGCCGCCAGCAGCGTCGACAGGGCGCACTCGGGCGGGCTGCCTGCGGGCGGGGCGGCCCCGCCACGGGGGGGGGCGCGGCCTCCTGCGAGGCCCGGGCGGGGGGGGGGCCCAGGGACAGGGAGGGCGGGGGGGGGAGGGGGGGAGAGGGGGGGAAGCACAGAAGGGAGGGGAGGGGAGGGGGAGAGGAGGGAGGCAGGGAGAGGGGGCAGGGAGCATGGAGGCGGAGGGGGAAGAGGAGGAGGAGGAGGAGGGGGAGGAGGAGGAGCTCCTCCTCGCGTCGCGGGCGACCAAACCACCCCCAGGGCCTGGAGGCGAAGCCCCCTTTCTCTCCTTCTCCCTCCCTCTTCCCTCCCCTTTCTTTGCCCCGCTGACCCCGCTCCTGCCTCTGGGGGGCTTGCCTTCTCGCCCTCGGGGAGGTTTGGCCCTCCGTCGGTCCTGTTTTACCTCAGGCGCCCCCACCTCCCCCCACCTCGTTAGAGATCGTGCTCGCCAAAACGTGCCAAGAGAGGTCACCAAAAGGCATCATTGTCTCTCGGTTCTTGAAGGATTTAGGGGATCTGCTGCTTTTCGGTCCTCCGACGGCCCAAGACGGTCCAAGAGGTCGTCAAGATCGCCCCAGGAGCGCCCAAGAGGCCTCCAAAATGGTCCCAGGACGGCCCAAGACGTCCCCAAGACGGCCCCAAGAGGGCCCAAAGACGGCCTAAGAGGCCTCCAAGACGCCCAAGATGGCCTCCAACACGGCCCTGAAGCGTCCCAAGAGGGCCCCTAAGAGGGCCCCAAGTTGGTTCAGGTCGATGCACCCTCCCTGAGCCCCCCCCCCTACACTTCGGCGGCGAACGCTCCCTCAGTGGCGAGATGCCAGATTCAGCGTGTTCTCGAACAGCTTGAGAACGACGTTGGCATCGCCCTTGTTCGTGAAGTGCGTCAATTTAAACGCTTCGCGGAAGCCCTGAACCGTGTGTCCGTTCATGGACTCCACATGCTCCCTCAGGCGCCTCACAGGCTCGTGGATCGCGGCATTCGAGATGTTGTCGAAGCCCATGGAGAGACAGAATTCCAGAAGACACCAGCCTCTGGAAATGTACTCCCTGCCCGCGTCCACGTCGCCATCCATGGGCAGAACAATGACGGGCGTCTTGCCAATGCTATAGATCTGCTCCATGGCGGAGAGCGCCTCCTTGAACTGGGCCTCCTCCGCAACTGTGCGCACGGACGGATGCGAGCCAGGCTTGGGCATCCCCGACGCGGCCTCGATGCGCTGCAGCTCTGGGTTCAGTTTGTCGTTCTGGGGGAGACTCATGTAGTCCACGAACACGGCGTGATCGTCGGAGGCATGCAGCATGTCGAGCTGCTGCACGAGCAGCCTCAACTTGACGCCAGTGGGATCGGGGTGCTCCTTTGACAACCACGGGTGCGAAAGGACAAACCTCTTCTTCTCACCATCACGTACAAGTGGGAATCCTCTGCTGCCGATGAACACCTGGTCGAGCGGTACCTCCTGGCAACGCTGCATGATGTCACCGGCTGAGGCCAGCCGCCGCAGGTAGCCGCAGCGCACCCACTTCACCCGCGCCCTGTCCAGGTACTCCAAATACATCTCGTAGAAGGATTGGAGCTGGTCGTCGGTGTAGCAGTTGATGGCAGAGAACGCATCGCGTGCGAGAACCTGCAGGGAGGGCGGCCCGATCAGCCCGGAGAAGAGCGCCACCGCGAGGCAGTCGCCCAGCGCGTCGAGGGCCGCCCCCCAGTGAGTCATGGAGGCACCGTGTCCGAAGAGCAGCGCAACGCTGGTGGCCAAGGAGAGCGCCAGGGCGAGGGCCGTCGCCACGACGAAACAGGCCGCGCGCCGCTGCGCCGCGCTTCCCGTGGAGCGGGCGCGCGCCGCGGCGGCCAGGAGGCCGCAGACGCCGAATATGCACGCGCCCAGGTAGGCGAGCGCCAGGCCGCTCAGGCTGTAGAATCTGATGTCTTCCAGGAGACGACACACGTCCAGCCGCGTGAGACGACACACTGGCAGCAGCCAGTCCGGCCGCGTGAGAAACTGGTCAGCGAGGTCAACGAAAACTCCGAAGCACAACAGCACTGCGCACAGCAGCATTACGGCCGAGAGGCACCGCACGGCCAATGCGACTCGCGGGCGCTGCAGCTCCTCCAGCTTGTTCGCGACGATAACCAGCGAGACGATCTTCAGCACCCCCAGGGTCGCGAACATGAGCACGTTCGGAACAAAAGCCAAAAGCCAGTTCCCGCACACTTGGCTCCACGGGTCCGAGGCGAACAGCGCCGCCGCCGCGCCCGCGCCCGCCCCGTAGACCCTCGTCCACCGGTGCAGCGGCAGGCTGGCCTGGAAGCTGCCGCGCACCCACACGCACCAGGCCGCCAGCGCGGCATACGGCACGGCCACCTCGCCATCGCTCGGACGTCCATTCCCTGTGCTTTTTTGGGTTTCGTGCGTGGTTTTGTCGCCAAGTGATCAAGGATGCTCCTCGATGGTCCTCGCCAAAGGAAACATGCACACGTCCGAGCGATGCCAGGCCACCGTCGCCGCCCAGAGCGCGCCCCGCTGGAAGACTTCCTGGTTCTCGTCGGACCAGGACGCGGTGCACCCTCGGCCCGCCGCCGCGGACCAGCACCAGAGCGCGGCCAGCGCCGCCAGGAGCGCCACGGCGGGCGGCGCGGCGTGCCGCGCCGGGGCGGCGGCCTCCACCGGCGACGGGGGGGGCCCGGGCTCGATCTCGAAGGTCACGACCTGGCGGCTGGCGAGCGACTGGGCGGCCCCTTCGTCGATGTGGGTGCCCCCGCCCTGGCGCGCCGGTACGCTGAGCGCCATACCCGGCGCGGGAGTCGTTGGCAGCGGCGGCCGGACAGAGAGTCCTGGTGGCGTGCCGCTCGAGGCAGACTGGCTTGAGCCAAAGTGGCTACGGACTCCCCCCCTCTCTCTCCTTCTCCTCCTGACCTGCCGTAAGGCCTCTGAGCACAGAGAGAACGTGCCCGGGTCCACTTTTCCGCTACCCCCTAAGCCCCAGCCCTCAATCCTGAGGAATGTCCGAGTGGCCTGCAGCCCTTCTTGCCTGGGGCCCCGCGTCTCTTATCATACGACGCGTTCGGAAACCAGTACGAGACGCCCTCGCGCATCCCGGAGAGTCTTCCGTGCAACCATTCGGGGAAGGCCCAGAGTACTTCTCAGAAGGCCGGGGGGGACTTCGCAGCCTTCTGAGAATGCCTGGCGGCCCGAGGAGGAGTAGGAGGAGCTGGAGAGGGAGGAGGAGGTGGAGGAGGGGGGGGGGCAGGAGGAGGTGGTGGAGGTGGAGAAGGAGGAGAGGCAGGAGGAGGGAGGAGGGAGGAGGAGGAGGAGGAGGAGGAGGAGGAGGAGATGGAGGAGGCCTTCTCCTTCTCGCTTCCCCCCCGGGCTCGGTGCCGACCGCTGCCTCTGACCCCCGGGGCGCCCGCGCTGGGGCCGCCGCCACGTCAACGCGGCGTGAACCTGCCGTGCAGCCGTCGTGCTGCACGGCCTCTCCTGGGGCCGTGGGCGACCCGAGGAGGAGGAGGAGGAGGAGGAGGAGGAGGAGGAGGAGGAGGAGGAGGAGGAGGAGGAGGAGGAGGTGGAGGACGGCAGGGGGGGGGCGGGAGGAGGGGCGGGAGGGTAGGAGGAGGAGAAGGAGGTGGAGGCGGGGAGGAGAGGAGGGGAGGAGGAAGGGAGGTAGGAGAAGGAGGTGGAGAAAGTAGGAGGGGAGAAGGATGGTGGAGGAGGAGGAGGCGGAGGAAGGTGGAGGGAAGGAGGAGGAGGAGGAGGAAAGGAGTGAAGGAGGACGGGTCGCCCGAAACTTCGGAGAAGCCGATGAGAGACGCACTCCAGTGCTGCCATTCACGGGGAGCGTTGACGAGAAGGAGCCCTCCTGTGGGAATGGATTCGGCCACGGCCAGCTAGCCGCGCCACGCACGCAGGAGCCAAGAAGACGCTCAGCATGGTCCTGCGCGATAAATACTGCGCGATAAAAGGACTCCAGGGGTCTCGGATGGGACTCAAGCTATATGCCCTCCTTGGAGGCGCGCGTCCGACCTGAACCTTATAGTAGACCCATAGTGCAGTAGATCGTTTCCCGAAGGCTTTGGCCAGAAAGCGCCCGCCACGACGCATGTACTGTAAGGTCTCTCGGTGCCAACGTCGCCCCTGGGGGTGCGACGCACACGTGCTATGGTGTGTTGGGGCGACGCCGATTGGATGCCCATGCCGGAGCTTTCCGAGCGGGGCTCGCCACGGAAAGCGGTGAAGGATGGGCCCGAGAGGACCGAAGAGGCGGGGATGCAAGGATACCCATAGGGGAACCGATGAGCCTCACTGTCGGTGTCGACTGCAGACTCCCCGACCCCGATCTCCGGGGCGGCCCGAAAACCGGGCGAGATGCCCCGACGAGCGCGCCGCGCGAACGGTGGCACCTGCCGCCCCTGGGCCATGAGCCCGTCCAGCATCCGAATGGACTCCAGATCGCGCTCATCCGGCGGCCGAGCGCGCTCTTGCGGCGGGTTGGCGTCGCGTCGACCCCGGCGTTGGTTCCCGACACCGCGGGGATCGCTCAAACTTGGACGATCGGCCCTTCAAAAACGCCAGATCGTGCAATTCACTCTGGGCCACAGGCGGCGTTCAACCCTAAACGCCCGCGCTGGGGTCGCCGCTGGTCGACGCGACGCGAACCTGCCATAAGTCTCTGGACCCTGGCGGAACTGAGCCCGTTCGGCCGCCGCTTCGGCGGCCGTGCCGGGCTCGGGCGCCGCGCGGGCTCAGACAGGAGGAGGAGGAGGAGGAGAAGGAGGAGGAGGAGGAGGAGGAGGAGGAGTGGGAAAGAGGAGGGGAAGGAGGAGGGGGAGGAGGAGGAGGAGGAGGAGGAGGAGGAGGAGAAGGAGGAGGAGGAGGAGGAGGAGGAGGAGGAGGAGGAGGAGGAGGAGGAGGAGACCGTAGCCATTTTGGCTCAAGCCTGCCTGGGCGCGTGGCAGGAGGAGCGCGCCGTGCCTCTCCCTGTAGAGCCCTGTCATCTCGGCAGGCACAGAGAGCGGCTCAGTCTCCTTCCCCCTGCGCGCGCGCGGATCATGGCTACGGGGGGCGGCCGCACTAGCAGCTGGCTGCCCGGACCACTCCGTACCGACGAGGCGGCCGCCGCAGGGCCGTCTGCGGCTCGGCGCGCGGCCCGAGCGCGTGCCCGTCTGGCCTGCGAGGCGGCCCTCCGCAGGGCCCTCGGCAGCAAGGACCACGCGCCGGGGTCCTGGCGGGACCGCGAGGTCGCCTCGCGACCAGCGCTCCAGGCCCTTGCATCTCGCAGAAGGGTGCCAGGCGCCGCGCGTCGGAGGCGCAACGCGGCATGGCACGCCGCAGACGCCCCGGTGGGAGGCTTCACGCTTGCCAAGGCGGCGGCGGGCCCCCGCCTCGGACGGCCGAGCCTCCCTGGGGCCAATTACAAGTACATCGTCGTGGAGGTACCACAGGGCTGCTGGACCGCCTCGCCGCTGACACCTCTGAGTGGAGCCGCCGCAGAGGCCGCCCATCACGGCGCGCGGAGCGTGCCTGGCGTCGCCTACCCGACGGACGCCAACCTCTCCCAGGTGGCGGATCGGGCGCTCCGCGCGGCCGTCGCGCGCCGGAGCCGGGAATACGAGGACGACGGCTACGACGGCTACAACCACGGCGACCCCGACGGCTACGACGGCTACGACCACGACAGCTACGACCACGGGGACCCAGTCCAGTCCGAGGATGCGGAGGAGTCGCCCTTCGTGGAGGCGTTCGGGATGACGGAGGACGGCTACCACGACAACGGCGGCTACGATTGCACCGACGAGCGCGGCTACGTCGGCAACAGCGACCTCCGCTCCTACGACGGCTGGCGGCCGAGCCTCCGCCCCCCGCCCTGCAAGGAGGAGGTGGAGGACGAAATGCGGAGAGCACGAGCGCCCACTGAGAAGATAGAGTACGATTCCGACGCGGACCCAGAGGACCACGAGAGCTACGACGGCTGCGACTACGGCGGCTACGACGGCTACGACAGCGAGACCCACCAGGCGCTGCACCGCACGAGCAGGGAGCTTGATGGGGAGAGCGCGGTCGACAGCTTCGTCATACCAAGTACCCGCAGTGGATCGGCCTCACGGCGGGATTGGCCCCCCCAGAAGGGCCCCCCGAGTTACGACGGCTACGACTACGGCGAACACGACGGCTACGACAGCAAGACCCACCTTGCGCTGCACGGCACGAACAGGGAGCTTTGTGCGGAGAGCGCGCTCGACAGCGTCGCCATACCAAGTACCAGCAGTGGATCAGCTTCACGGTGGGATTGGGCCCCCCAAAACGGCCCCCCGCCGTTCGAGACCAACGAGACGAGCGAGCAGAAGGCGCTGCACGGGCACGAACAGGGAGCTGGACAGGGAGCTGGACGGGGAGCTGGACTGGAGGAGAGCAAGCGGAGCAGCGGCGACGACCCCCCAGAGCCCCACAAGAAGGTGCGCTTCTGCTTGCACGAGGATGTGGATGGCCACTTCGAGGCGGAGAGGCGCCCGGGATCGTGAAGAACTCGTTCGGCGCCCCCCTGGAGGTGATCATCCGGCCAGGCCGTGCGCCGTGCTGCCTGACGCCCGCGGGCGCGGGCGCGCGCGGCGCCCGGGCCCTGTCGGGCCTCCCTCTTTTTGGGAAAACCCGGCCCCTCTCCCCTCTTCCGAGGTATTTGGTCCCTGGTCCTCTCTCTTCCTCGGGGTCGGGTTCCCGGGGCCGTCGTCTGAGTGCCCGCACGGCCCTCGTGGGCTGCTGCGGCGCGCTCCGCGCCCCGGGCGCATGAGAAGACGCTGGCTGAGCGAGAAACGTAGAAACGTAGGAGGAGGAGAGGCTTCTGGGAACATAATGTCGAACGAGGCTCTCTTGGGCCTCCCTGAGGCCGTCTTGGGGGCCTCCTGGGCCTCTTGGGCCGTCTTGGGGGGTTCCGTGAGCCCCACGGGACGATCTTTTTGGGCCGTCTTGGGCCCTCTTGGGTCTCTCTTGGGCTGTGTTGGGGCTCCTCGGGGGCGTCTGGGGCACTGTGAAGACGAAACAAGGGAGTATGCTGAACATGTACATTTTACGATGGGAATGGGCAGATTTGTGCCTATTCAAGGCCCTCTTGGGGCCCTCTTCTTCGGCCATCTTCAAGCCATCTCGGGCCCTCTTGGGCCTCGCTGAGGCTGTCTTGTGGGTCTCTTGAGCGTCCTCGGAACCCGGAATTCATGTTCCCGGAGAGGCTTCCGGGAACATGATTTCGAACGATGCCCTCTTGGGCCTCCCTGAGGCCGTCTTGGGGGCCTCCTGGGCCGGCTTTGGCGCTTCTTGGGCCGTCTCGGGGGTTTCCCGAGCCCCACAGGCCGACCCTTTTGGGCGGTCTGGGGCCCTCTTTGCCTCGTGAAGGCCCTCTTGGGCCCTCGTCGGCCATCTTCAAGCCATCTTGGGCCCTCTTGGATTGCTCTTGGGCGTATTCGGGGCCTCTTGAGGCTCTCCTGACCATCTGTACGGCCCGCGTGGTCAGTCGTGAGCCATTTGGAAGCGGCCCGGGCCAGTACCAGGGGGTCTTTGACGCCCCAAAGGTCCAGGGGCCTATAGCCCTAATAGCTCCGTAGCTTCATACCCTTATAGCCCTATAGCCCTATAGCCCTCTAGCTTTCTAGCCTTCTAGCCCTATAGCCCTATAGCCTTATAGACCTATAGCCCTATAGCTTTTTAGCCGCATAGCCCTATATCATTAAACAAAAGTATGAATGTTTTTTCTGTGATAACATTTGTATGTGTTTCTCTCTCTGTCTCTATTTCTCTCTTCTTATACATTAAAAGCACAGGTTCGCAGTTGGCAGTTGCTGATGCTGAAAACCCTCCTCCTCCTCCTCCTCCTCCTCCTCCTCCTCCTCCTCCTCCTCCTCCTCCTCTTCCTTCTCCTCCTCCTTCCCCTCGCCCTCCCCGCTTCCCTGGCGCCCTTCCCATTGGACCGCTGACCG